GTGAAAATAATGAATAAAAATTGAAAATAAAATTTAAAATCCTGCCACTGATCTGTAAAAAAAAATATCGCATAACGACGATAATCCTAACTTGATCGTATAGTTACGGTCTATTAGACCGTCCATACAAAATACAGGGAAAAACATACAAAAACAAAACAAAGTCACACTTTTTTTAATTTTTGTATTTTTCTTTTTTGAAAACACTGAAAGAAGTTTGAATGTTAAAAATAGGAAAGATTTTAAGAAAATTATCAATTTGAATCATCAAAATAATTTTCATAGGAGCGTTTTTTTCGTTGAAAAAAATACTTTCTCATGTAAACAAGTATTGAAATAATGAATGGAAATTGGAAAAACTTCCGATCGATTCTTCTCGTCTTTCCGATGGGGAAAAAAAAATTCCAGCCATGTTATCCCCGGTGTGCTCGACTTCTAGAACACTTTGGACCAGGTTTGGGTCCACCTAGTCCACAGGATTCGATTCTGGCAACAACATCTATTACTGTAGGAATCACCGATCGATTTTTCTTATTCTCTTCAAAATATCACTTAAAATTAAGTGAAGAGGATGCAGGGATGAGAATTATCAACTTCCAAAACACATTGGACCAAGTCGGATCTACCCATTCCATAGGATACACTTCCAGATCAATTCATGTCACATGATATTATTGATTTTTTCAGCCATGGCCTGGAAATGCCTATGTAATTTACATATAAACGAGTGAGACTCAAACATGTTCTTCTTTTTCCATCAAATATACCAGTGGCGCCACCAATTTTACATATAAGCGCATACAAAATTTTCAATATGGCTGCGCCCATGAGAGAGAAAATTTCGTCTCATTCATTTCCGCCCCATGTTTTCAGCTCTCACTGCGACAATGAGATTTCTTAATCTGGAAGTGCATCCTGTTGAATAGTTAGATCCGACCTGGTCCAATGTGTTCGGGAAGTTCAAAATGCTCATCCCTACATCATCTCTTCTTCATTTCAAGTGATATTCTACAGTAAATAGCTTTTATAAGCGAGAATAAGAAAAATCGATCGGTGATTTCTATAGTAATAGATGTTGTAGCTAGAAGGGATGCCTGTGGATTAGGTGGACCCAAACCTGGTTCAAAGTGTTCTAGAAGTCGAGCACACCGAGGATAACATGACTAGCAATTTTTTTTCTCCATCGGAATCGCGAGAAAAATCGATCGGAAGTTTTTCCTATTTCCATTCAGTATTTCAATACTTGTTTACATGAGAAAGTATTTTTTTTTAACGAAATATTTTTTTTTCAACGAAAAAAAAACGCTTTCATGTAAATGATTACGATGATTCAAATTGATAATTTCCTTAAAATCTTTCTTATTTTTAACTTTTAACCTTCTTTCAGTGTTTTCAAAAAAGAAAAATACAAAAATTTGAAAAAAAGTGTGACTTTGTTTTGTTTTTTTATGGTTTTCCTGTATTTTGTATGGACGGTCTAATAGACCGTAACTATCCTATATTGTTTTTATTTCGAACTATACCTAGGAGGGTTAAAGAATATTTTGTTGCCAAAGTTGAAACATATTTATTGGCCTCAAACTTTACGCCGCTTGAAAGGCTTGAAAAATCGAATAAATATTATTTTGAACTTTCTTAATAAAATACGTAACTACCACCGTGCGGAAAAGTTCGTCTTACTCCCGTAAGACTCTTTATTGTATTTGTATTCATTTTGCAGTGATCCCCGATGATATGATATGAGCTTTGTTTTGTCTACATTTAATTTCAATAAATTGCGTCCATAATAATCTGCTACACGATCCAAGTCATTCTGTAGATTAATGCAATCATCTGTTGAGGAGATACATTTCGAAATTTTTGTATCATCAGCGAATGAAAGTATACAAGAATCGCTAACGACGAATGGTAGATCAATAACACACATGATGAACAAAGTCATTAAGCGCCAATGGGATATCCTTGACCCGTCCCAGATGTAACTTTGATTGGGTCAGCTTTGGTATCTTCTCTATTATGTTTTTCAAATATTGATTAAGATGTTTTGTGATGATTGAATCGATAATTTTTGACAAAATGCACTGTAAACCAACACCCCGGTAATTTTGAACGTTGTTTCTATCGCCGTTTTTGTAGACTGGCCTGACAAATGACGTTCTCCATATGAAAGGGTTAAAGTCACTTTTATTCTCAGTCGATCATACCTTTTACTGTAAATATGAATTCAAGAGAAAACTGAATCTGAAATTAGTTTTGTGATACAAACGCCTTCCATTATCACCTGCAAACCATCGGGAAGTGGACTCTCAATGCACACGCGTGATGGTGGATTTTGAAATTTGAATGATCAACGCCACCTTTTGTGCTGTTATAAAATGTGTTGATTTCATCTTCAGAAACCACACTTTTGATCGACAGCGAACGAATCATGTTTGTGTTTCTTAGCTTATATACACATATACACAAATTCTTTCTTTTTTATTCTTTGCTACATTGCTGAATCTACTCTATATGCACCGTTTTATAACGCAAAATTCAGAATGTACACTGTTGACAGTTTTGAATTGTTTTATTTTTTACTGTTTATATGAGGTTTTCATGCATTTTGTATGGGCGGTCCAATGGACCGCCACTATACGTTCTAAGGGAGATTTGGTTTTATCAAATGTACACAACACCCAACGGACAAATATGTAACGTTTTTAGGACATTTTAACGTTAAAAAATGTAACGCTTTAACCCATTTTTGTGGCAATTTTCGTGTCAAATGGAAGGTAGAATATAGGCATAATGTGAACCACTTTTTCGGCTTTTTCGTGTTGCGATACACAACAACATCTTCTGTGTGTTTCGATTGTTTCTCTTTTTGTTATTATATTCTAAGAAACTGTAGCGGCAATACAATGTAAACAAATGTAAATAACATAAACTCGTTGAGTTCATAATATCGTATTCATACGATTGATTTTAAGCAAATGAAATTTGAAAAACAAACCGGAAAAAAAAGAGGATGAAAATACAAATCTTACTCTCTTCTCTCTGTGTGTGTTTCGATTGTGCATGAATAAAAAAAAACATTGCATCGTATCAATTAATTTCTTTGAACAATGTATGAAATTATAATTCCGGCACCGAACTAAATAGGGATTTTTTCGCATCAAAATATTTTGAAGTTATTGTTAAGAATAAGGTAAGTAATTATGGTTAAGTTGCCATTGTGTTGAAAAAAAAAAACAAAATTCAGTGATTAATAAATGAAATTCTTGTACATGAGATTCATTTTTTGTTTATCGTCATTTTAGCAACGGTTTGGTGTGTTTGGAACGTAACTGTAGAAGTCACTCGATGTCAAATGGAAAGATTCACAGTCCGTTTTGTGACAGTCTTTGTCTTCATTTCAAAATAAAAAAAAACATTTTCATCGTTTTAATCAGGACACAGCGTTATATAGTATAAGAAGTTATTCATTTGAATTGTGATATGAGTGTGTTCTCATTTTTTGTTTGTAAAAAAATTGTGCACAAATTGTGCTTTGCTTGTAAAAGGAATTCTTGAGAATTATGTGTGAGTGTTTATATTAGAGTATGAAACAATTTGTTTGTCGTCATTTTTGGCTAACATTTGTTCGATGTTAAACGGATAAATTCACTGTTGGTTTTGAGATTGTCTCTGTTGTTATTTCAAAATAAGAAAGCATTCATAAAATTGACGGTGAATATTCCAACAAAATTTTCATCTGTGGAATATTGGAAAACATTTCATCATTTGAATCAGAATACAGAGTGACATCGTTGAGGTAAGAAGTGATTAATTTGAATTGTGATATAAGTGATTGTCATTTAAATTGTGATCTCATTTTATTCGTAATCTATGCTATTTTTGTTGCATTTTTTTTCTAAATTTGTGTCTATTTTTTATTTTCGAATAATTTAATCAGTTTTTTGAGAATGAACAGAAAAAGACATGGATGACGACGAGCTCGATGATAATCAACCAGAAGAAAGCAAATACGTTGTAATAAAATGTGGACTTCAAACAATCCTGCGACAACAACATGAACGGATTGAAAGAGTTGGAGAAGCTGTGACCAAAATGCTATTCGAGCGCAGTGTTCAAATGACAGAAGTGGCAGCATTGGCATCACTTTCTATTCTTTTTATTTTGAATGAAGCACTTGATAATGACGATCGTGCATTTTTTTTGCAACCACATCCAAGACTGTTTATTGCCGATTGTTTCAGAGCGGTATTAAACCAACACGTTAACAATATTAATAGTCAATATCGGATATTGCCCGAGTTTCGTTTCATGGTAGAAAGAAACAGTGAAGAACAGTTCCGATGGCCAGATGATGAAAAGTTGGGAAATGGTTTGAGATATTTTTATAAACAATATATCACAAACATTCAAACCAATACCAACACATGGTGTGAAAAACGACTTGAGTATTTTTTTCGAATGCGTTGTTGGTATCGCAATCGATTCAACAATGACTCAAGATTTGATAGCATCGACATCAGAAATGCCAAAGAGTTTTCATATCGATTTAAGAATTTAACAAATGGTAATAATGGTAATAATGTGGATCCACAACGCGTTGAAAAATTCAATATTTTAATGAGAGATTTGACTGAAATTGGATGGTCGGGAACAGTGAGTATGAAATTTTTCGCAAAATATCGTTGGTTTGAATCACTGTGGTTGTTCGGTCAAATGCAACGGCAAATAGAAGTGTATCACAGTCATGCCGAACAATGGAATACCATTCATGAAATGTTTCGTAACAATCCGAACTTTCAAGAGCCAACAATCAATCGACCACCAAAAATAAGCAGTTTTGCTCTTATACCATTATGCGACTACCATTTGAAAAACGTGCGATTGGACATTAAGGACTTGTATTATAAAATTGTAAACGAGCTTGATTTGGTGCCTTCTTTTCTCAATACGCGGACCAACCGGATGAATAAGAGAAAAGTAGAGTACTACACCCGAACTGATCGATCAGGTCTATGGAATATGTTGTTCGATGTCGGTAAAATAAATAAATTGGGCAAATCGAAACCATTCCATCATCAGATTTTGACCGATAGTGTTTCAATATCCATAATGTACAAGAAACCACAGCGACAACAACGACCACAGCGACAACAACGACCACAGCAAACAACCCAAGCGAATCGGGGGCCGGAAAAACTCATTGGCAAGAAATACATCATTGGAATCGATCCGAATGAAAAATCGTGGTTAACTGTAGTGCGTCGCAACATTCAAAAAACACCTGATGAGCCGGCTGTTGAGGTAAGATATTTTGAAATGTAATTTGAAATGGTTTTGAATAGAAACTCATAGTTTTTTGTATCATTTTGCATTTTGAAGGAAAACATTATAATACCAAACCAGCGTTTTCATTGGGAAACTCAGCAGAAAAAACGAGACAAAGAAGCGAAAAAGTTGGCTGGATGGTTTGATATCGAAGAGAAGGAACATCTCAAAACATACCCATATCGTCCACCATCACCACGTAATTCAACATGGAAATCATACATTGAATATCGCATTAAAATGTTACGAAAAGGAATGGCAGCTTATGCGACGCGTGAATATGCACGACTGGATTTAGACCATCACATTCGCTCGACCAGAGTAAATGATCAAATCGCCGTGTGTGTGACAAACAACAAACCGTCGTTGGTTCAATTTGGTGCTTGGGCGATGAAACCCGATCGACCGTTTGGAATAAAAAAGCGTAAAAGATGTCCGGGATCGCGTATGTTTCGTGTGAGCATTAAGAAACTTGGACATTCAGAAGTTGAAATGCAAGATGAATGGGGAACATCACAAACATGCGCGAATTGTCAGGAACGTTTTCCAAGGCACACAAAAGATGATCGATTTAAAGTGTGCTACGATTGTAGAGCGAAAAAGATTGATGGCCTGCCAGATTCAGTCGCTGGACTGCCAGATATCATTGTGTCAACGGTCAACAGACGTGTTTTGAGAAGAAAACGTGCAATTATTAAGCGACAAATTATCGATGGCAATCGTGAGGCTGTGAACGAAAAACTTCGGACTGGGCGTTTAATGTCAAAGGTTAAAGTTACCTACAAAAATTGGCCATTAAATGTTGATGATGATGATGTTGTTCCACAAACAGTTACTTGGCACCGAGATATTGTTGCAGCAAAATGCATTATGCTCAAAGGTATGAATCAATTGGAAACAGAATATTCATTATTTAATGTATTTGCTTTAAATTACATAGGACTTTGCCGGATCTTTGATGTACCATTGCCAGTTTCATTGTTAAGACCGCCGGACTAAAACAACAATGTCAACTAACAAACATCATCAATTAATCATACATTCAAAAAATTACATAAAATAAAATATTTTAACTATTATAGTTAGCGTAGCTAGACATGAACAGACTATATAAAGTCTTGTGGTCTAGTTGTACAATAGTACAACATTGTACGGAGAGGGAGTGCCCGTAGGTGAGTAAAGTTTTTAATTTAAAAAAAGGATTTTATACCCAGTTCAACTGATACTAATGGTTGTCTTTCCCTTTTTCCATGTTTTCACACCTGAATGTTCCACCATGCCAAACCAATGGAAATGACTGAAACTACACACGAATCTAACCCCGAAAACGACCGTCAATATGTGCTTCATAATGGATGCATTTTCCCTATCAATATGCATATACAATTATTTTATGAAAGAAACAATATGTACATTAGGGTGTTTCCGATGTTTCTAAATGAGAAAATGGTACTTTTGAATTCAAAGAACACAGAATTCTATATTATTTAATGGCATTCATATAACAAAGCGATTGATAATGGCACTTTCCGAAGCGAAAAAGAAATATGAAACGCATGAAGTTTGAAGTTTTTTTTCTTTGTCGCTTGCACATATATAGACTCTATTCGATTGCTTTGATAACTTATTGTTGCGATTCCTTTGAATTCGATAAATAAACAAAATAAAGTATTTATGTTAAACGCATTTTCACAATCGTACAACAAAACTCTGTGTAAGCAATTTTTGGCCAGTGAAGTCGGTATATGATTTGAATCAACATTAACACACAAGCAGTCCATACAACACATTAACACACAGCAGTCCATACAGATTTGAGTATATCCATCGCGACAGGCTAATAATCATGCCGTTTCGTTTGCTTGTTAGTGTTTACACATACACAAACTGTGAGTCCGTTCATTAGTTCAGCACACACAATTTCCTTATTCAAACGGTTTATAAACAAAAAATGTGTGTGTTTACAGTATAGGAATATTTTTCACATCGGAATGCAGTGTGAGTTGTGTGTTAGTCGAATGATCTGTCACATTTTAAGCGTGGTGAAACTTTTAAGAATCATTGTTTTTTTTATTTGAATTTGCATTCCTTGCATAATTTCTATGCATTCGATTGTTAAAGTGCTTAAACATATAATTTGAATGTGTCGGCGTATTTTGTATTTGTTTTATGCTTTAGAAGGAGTTAATTTCACTCTGTTGATGGTTTTTTTATGAATACAACA